ACCTCTGCTTCTAATAAACCAGACAACGACTACTACTTCTTTGTGCGTATTCAATGTAGCGACGATGCAAGCTGCCTCTAAGAACACGAGGAAGAAACGAAGAAGAATAACAGGGACTAAACGCGCTCTGTAGAGTAGTTTGTCCGTTTAGGGCTACTGTAGAAACATGGCGGTGCAAAATGGCTACTTAACCATGGAGGGGGAGCCGCGGTGTATGTAGACAGAAATGGCTTATTCTAAGATAATTAAAACATAACGTGAAATTTGTAAGGTATTTATACACCACTGAAAACATAGTTTTGTATGTTACATTGCATTTCTGTAAACAGATTCTCAAAAATATTACACATTGTACCTTTAAACAAAACGCATAAGATGGTTATACCACTTTATGAAAAGACAGAAGAGTGAACACATTTTGTTTCACTTTCTGTACCTCTTTTTAAGTTTTATGTTTCAAACTTTTTTTTATATCATATTACTATATTTATATGCTACTATCAAATTAGTTTTGAAATGTAGAATATATACCTAAGCTGTATAAATGTCAAGTACAAATGCAATTTATACTTAAAAAAATATTCTCTTTTAAAAGACCAGTAGTGAAAAATGACCACATACACATTGCAATGCTCATCATTTATTATTTCATGATGTGAATTGATGCTCATATTCTTCACCATTTATTCCGATTTTTTCTCGGGATGTACACGTTGGCATGTCAGGCATCTGCCATAAACCCTCACAGCAGAGTGATCTCGTGTAAGGGTGCTTAGGATTTTCGGAGCTGATCATTGATCGTCAATCACAGGAAGCAATATCTGCACATTTTGAGAGGGAAAGAGAGAGAGCGCACAGTGATTCACTCACGCTGTTTGTGAAATTACGTCTCACAGAAAGTTTTCAAATTACTCTTTAAGTTATTTAATAAAGAAATATGAATTGTACCTCACCTTCAGCATTATAATTATTTTACCCGCACCGGACAGAGATTGAGACCGTGCCGCTGTATGTCATGCCAAACCTCTCACGACAGGCGCATCATCAGCTTGAGATCGGTTTATGACATCGGCCTTTAGAGGGACTGCCGATAAATCGGAGCACCCCTAATCTCGTGCTTTGTCTTTATCTTGTGCTTTGAAACCAGCGATGACAAGGAGTTTGGTCCTGGAGAGAGAGAGAGAGAGAGAGAGAGAGAGATATCTTAATATGAATCTTATAATTATTCTTTGCAAAATGCTTGATGATTCTGTTTCAAAACACACAAACAACCCATTTTGACAAGATTGTAATCGTATAATATTTTCTTAAATTTAAACACATTATGCAGATGGTAACTAGTCAAAAACTAGTTAAAATTACATATCTAACATAGACTCAACAAAATTAATTTAATTACTACACGATTTAAATAATTTTATTGAAAAAGCTTTGACTCAGCTCTCACTAAGCTAGTAAGATAGCTAAAATGTAATTTGTTAAATTTTTTATCTGCTATATATGATCAAAAGTCTTACTGTATTTTTATATTTAAATTATGTTATTAGGCTACATGTCAGTTACATTTTAGTTTCATTTTATTTTGTTTTTGTTTTCATTGTCTCCCGTTTTTACACTCTTAAAAAGAATGGTTCTTTATTGGCATTGATGTGCACAAAAGGTTCTTTATGGAAAAAGGTTCTTTGTTCTTTAGATTTTTTAAATGTTCTCCACACTAAGAAAATAATGGTTCTTTTAAGAACTCATTACTGAAAGGTTCTTAGGGAAACAAACAGTGCTAACGTACACTCACGGTGTGCTGTAATGTTTTTGAAAATCATGATCCTAACCTTTATCTCCATACCGAAAGCTTTTAAGAGCATTCCTGCTCTTAATCATCTTTATGAAGGTTCCACCTGCTCCAGACCAACATACAACACCTGAAAATTACATGTGGAATGTGACATTTAATTGAATATCATTTAAATTAAATTATAAATTATTCTAAAAAACACTTGTGCATGTTGTTTTAACAATATTTTATTAAGTAACTTACAAGTTTTGTTGTGGGCAAAACACATGAAGATCTCTCTCCGGGATAATGGATAATAGATAATGGACAAAATTATTATTTCTGAGAACTGTAGCCATGCCAATTGTATGGAAACCCGTTTCCGCCACTGAATAAAAAATAAAAGAGGTAATTGCGACTTTTTTTTCTCACAATTCTGACTTTTTTTTCTCAGAATTGCGTGATATAAACTCGTAATTGCGAGTTAAAAAGTCATAATTGAGAGATATAAACTCGCAATTGCGAGACAATGTCGCAATTCTGACTTTATAGCTCACAATTGCGAGTTTATATCTCACAATTCTGTGAAAAAAGTCAGAATTGTGAGATATAAAGTCGCAATTATCTTTTTTTTTTCTTTTTTTATTCAGTGGCGGAAACGGGCTTCCATACAATTGTGTTACAGCTGTCTCTTACGGTCAAATGTTTGTAGATGTTTTAAAGTGTTTCTCAATACTGCCCCTGGTGGCCCTGCACTATGGCTTCCCAACCCAACCCTGCCACCTCCACTCTCACACCCAAACACTTCACATCCTAGATGTCGCCCTTATCTACCACACCAGATTTAACCCACGGAGCAGGATTGAGAAACTAAGAAATATCAAATTATTTAACATGCTATATTATTTTAAATTTATATTATATTGACTATCATTATTGTTGTTATTATTATCATCAAATATTTTTGAAAATAGCCATTCACAGAGGTAACCTAAATTTTGTTTTAATAAATATAAAAAACTGTCCTTTAGAATTTCGAAATTATTGTTGTTATTATTATCATCAAATATTTTTGAAAATAGCCATTCACAGAGGTACCCTAAAATTTGTTTTAATAAATATAAAAAACTGTCCTTTAGAATTTCGAAAATACTATTTTTGTCCATTGTACCAATCTGAGAAAACAAAAGTGAATGCAAGTTATTAGACAATAATAAAGTACTTTCAATACTTATACTTAAAAAACTTAAACTTAAAAAACTTAAACTTAAAACAATAGACTTAATTGTTGAGTATAAAATGTAAAATAAATATTTGTTTGTCATCTGGTCACTAATAATTTTTTTTTCCGTATCCAAGTCAGTTTAATCACCGTTCCATATTAATGCGCTGCTTTCATTGACGCACACAAACACACATATCACTCGCACACTCGTGAACACTGCCCCACGACTTAAATATCTTCCATGCTGGGTCACTACGTTACATTCCTCAGCAACGATGAGATACAAGTGCTGTTTTTGAAGTAACCAAACTCACAGCTACATTGTTTGTAGGGAGAGATGCACAGACGCAGGTAATTCACACACTCTCTCTCTCTCGACAATTAATTTAAATAAATGATATAATTAATTCAAATAAATGTGATCTTACCGCACGATTTGCTATCTGTGTCTGATCTGAAGTGGGCAGAATGCTAGAGCTAACAAGCCATAACTGATGAAAACAATCGTAATCTTTCCCCTTCCAGTCAGACATTGCGTTACAAACATCATTAACAGCTTTTAACGTCTCAGTGCTGGTCCACTTCGCGTTGGGTGGTTCTTTGCCTCCACATTGTGTATTAAAATCATTTAATGTACAGTTAGCTGTGGATTATCCCTATATATTAATAACTAATATATAAGAACTGTGTGTTCCAACACCACTCAGTGTAAATGATTATATGTTAGATATATATTTTATTTTATCTTTGGAAATATAAAAATATAGATAGTTAAGTTAAATAAGTTGATATTTGCTGAAAGTTGTGTAGCCAATTTTCTTAAAAAAAAGAAGTGATACTTACCCTATCTATTCTTTTTTTTTTTGTAGTAGCTTCAAAGATCTTGGTAATTTATAAAGGATCTGAACCAATCATTGTTTGTGGGCTGTACATGGATTTTTTTTGGGGGGGGCGGGGGGGGCGGGGAGGAGTGAGGTAGGGAAAAGGAAATATACCCTAGTACAAAAATAAAAATTGAAAACATGACCCTTAAAAATGTAATTTTTTGTATAATCTTAGGTAATCATTTTGATAATCATATTAAATATTATTTTCAAGCTGATTAGGATGAAGGTGTTATTAAGTAAAGCACTGGTTACTAGACAAAACTTTCTAATGTAACTAGAGGGTGTCCCTTATATTGTTTTAATGCCTGTCATCATTCATCTGTGTAACCAACAAATGTCTTCAAGAACGTGAAAGCATTCATGCTATTAGAACTACTTTAAGTTTCTCAATCACTCACTGTATCTTGCTGTTCTGACAACGTGATCTCAAAAGTATTCATATGTATTTTTATGTAAAATGTGGTTCTACCAAATGAACATTTCCTTATGTTTACATAGACACTGAATCATACTTGATGTATTGACAGCATCTAAATGTACAAAACTGATGTTTTGGCAACATCTAAAACGTTAAATATGTATGTAACAACTTTACAGACTTACAAATGAATCCTTATGAATATTAAAATCGCAGCATTAATATTTTTATTATATTGTAATCAGTTGTCCTATAAATGACATTGTTTTTAATCACATTCATTAAACGTTTACTTAATATGAAATAACATTTCATTCTGTTCTGTGTGATTTCTGCTGCCAACCCGTTTCGAAGGATTACATATTGTTAAACAAGACTACACTTTAAAACCTTAAAATGTATAACATTTCTGTAATCGTTTAATCATTACTTATCATTTAATATTTTTGCCATTGGACACAAAAAGCATTTTTTTCAGGCATGCTGTGACTTACACTAGAACCATGAAATACACCAAAAACGAAAAAGAAATATATATTTTTCATATGTTGTAATTCATATCTTCAGAATTCATATGATCGCGAGGAACAGACCCAAATTAAAGTATTTTTTTCAGCAATCTTCATCTCCTTCCTCAACAGCGACCATAAGTGTCAAAACCTGCACTGACGTGCTTGTTACAAATTAAAAAATGGCTCCTTTCTAAAGCTTTACAACAGGTTTTACGGCAGTGAAATAAAATGCTCATTGGCTCTCGTCTGTGTCATCACATCTCTCACTGCTTATCAGTTTTCTGATATGTATCATAGTAATGAAGTGCCTACAGCAATTTCAGTTGCTGCTGAACATTCTTCTTTTTTTTTTTTTTTTTGATAGGTTGAAAATCAAATTTATGTGACGATACCAAATCGGTTGAGATGTCAAACAAATCGCGATACAATTGGAGTAGGAGTTTATATGAATGTATCTCTGAGGGGAACTGACTGTCTTTAGAAAAGTTTACGTGGTATTTTCTTTTCATCTTGCCTCTGATCAATGCATATTAAAGTAGCGTTCATAAGCGCTGCTCTGCTTTGTTTTCAAATAATAATGGGATTTCAGACGTTCCAGGTAACATGCTGTCAGCACACTGATCTATGTGAGGTATGTACAATATGCTTTGCAGCTCTTTTTTTTGTTACAGAAAAATGCAGAATGCACAGATTCCTCTGAACCAAACTGGACTCATTGTTTATACATAGGTGTAACATCTACAAAAGCATATGTCATGTTTTTCTTTATTGTATTTAGTTAGCAGTCAAATACAGAGCAAAAAACACAGAACATTGTGTAACAGTTTAGGGAATGTGAGAAAGAACTACTACTAATAATAAATATCATGTATAAGCATATATTGTGTCTGTTCTTTTCATGTCATATGTTTAAGAATGGTGTGTGAAAGCATCCAAAATGTCATGATCCACAGTGTTGCGTTAATCATGTTTAACATTTGAAAATCTTATTCAAATTTGTTTTTCTCATTTTACAAGTATACATACTGTACAATGAAACCATTTCTGATCTTCAGCATTCTTGGGCAGGGATTCCCAAACAACCTAATTTCCTAATCCTAATTCCCAACTCCTCCTGAGATTAATATCTGCTGAGATATTAATAGTAACAGTAATTTAAGAACACACTTTCATGTTCACAGTTCTCTGATGTTGGTTAATAGTAACATGACATGCAGGTTAACAAATAAAATTGTATCTTTTTTAGTAAGTCTTTTATTTTGACTCTTTATAGCGAATTAAAAACAAAAATTATATTGTAGATTATATAAATATTAGTTACATTCATTAAATGTTACTATGACAAGTACAGAAGTAATTACTTTATGAATATAACTCAAATTGATAAGACAAGGAAACTTTCAAAACAATATATGTATGTGGAATAAAGCAATGCAAAATGATTAACATTTTAACTACAAGAAAACATTTTCTTCTCAGTAGCTTATATATGTAATAGAAACTCTGGCTATATACAAAATAAACAAGAAATTAAGAATGACACAGGATACTCAAACAGACTAACTTATAATGAAGATATATTAAGAAAATAATATTTTAGAAGGGCCTCATCTATTAATTTTGCCTGGGGCCCCCACTTCATCTTGGTTCGCCGCTGGTCAAAACAATGTATAGTTTGTGTAATATGATAAATCATCTGAGCTGTTCTGCCTGATTGATCACAGGCACACAGCAGAGCAAACAAGAAGAATAACCTGCGCTAACCCAGGCTAATATAGCTTTTTACTCTTTGATGTGTTTAGCTTTTTATTTCATATGTGAGACTCAAATTTTTGTTTGTAGTAGCCTACCTAGTTGTCATTGATGACTAGTACAGCAGTGTGTTTACAACAGTGCTTGAAATAAACGTCTAGGTCTACAAATGTATCTGTGGCCTAATGGTAAACTTCCTCATTGTCTTCCTGCAGAAAGAACAGCTTTACTAACCGTTTTCTGGGGATTTGGGACAGCATCCAAATTCCACCATGTAGTGTTGGTGTGTGGGTAATTTGAAAACCACCCATGTTCTCATGTTTTAATAAAATAAATGCTATCATAAGCTGCAGTTTCATGGGTTGTGTGGGGAAGACGCATTAGGGGGATGATAGAATAAAGTGGAACTTATCACAGCATGTGGTAGTAGGATGAAGTTGTGATGCCTGTCAACATTCTTGATTAGTTACTGGTAACCAACAAACATCAGTCATATAGAAAATAATTCATGTCATTAAAATCATTTTGAGTTTCTCAATCACTTTGCATGTTCTACTTACTTGCCTTCCCTGAAACCACATTATTATTTAGAAATATGTTTGATCTGTCACACACTTGCTCAGGAAGTAAGACCAATTAATTGTCTTGGAAAGACTGTCAGATTTAAATCTTTTTGCCTTTGAAATGATTTGCAAGAAAACAAAGCTGCAGAACAGGTCTGTGACAGTTGGAGAAGGCTGTCTGTTTGCACTCCCATTTACAGTCTCTCATTGGCAACGCTGTGGCAGATAAGGATATAATTTTGTCAGTATAAACAGATATTTTTTAACCTCATATAACACAAAACAACATCCCATAAATTGTCAAGTTCTCTGTTGTTAGCCTTGAACACTTCAAGTCTGTAAAAATAGGCCCTTTCCTTTCAGTTAAATAAAACTGTTATTAAAAACATAATGAACACATATATAGTAGACTGATGAAGCCAGTTTATTGGGGATTACTGTGGGAACATTTAGAAGGAAATGAAAAGAAAAGACCAGTTATTCTCCTCTCAAAACTTCATACCTATCTGACATCTGAACATGTGGCTGTTACCACAAATACTCTCTTCCCTACAGCGACATCAAAGTGGTCAAACCTGAAGTGTGTTCTGTTTCATTCTGACTTGATAAAAAAAAAAAAAAAACATTATCAAAAATAAATAGAGCAGCCCACAGGGATGATTGAAAGATACAACTACAAATAACTTAAGTTCAACTTTCAACAAAATATTTGTATTTGTTTGTATTTTTGTTCAGAAATGGTGTTTTTCTGAGTTTCAAATGAAGATAAGCTGCTGAAATGATGATTTTACTACATTTGCCTGGCATGATCATTACAATGGAAAGATGTACGAAGGTCAAGTTTCAATTATGTGTCCGTTTATTCTTTCTGCGCCTCTGATGCTCGTTCAAAAAGTGTGCTGGATTTAAAGTTATCCACCGCCATCTGATCATTTGACTTCAAGTGTCTTTAAGTTTGTTCTAAATATGCTTTCTGTATAAATGTTTACAAATGTGACACGCTTCAAGATCTTTTTTCTTTTTTTAAAATCAGGTCCAGATTTTTCCAACGCTATCTCACGGCCAATTCTTACGTGTTTTACGAGGTGGCTAATTCGTATGAATTTGTACGACCTCACTCATACGATTTTGTACGATTTCTGTGACGGGTAAGTTTGGGGCGGGGTTAGGCGTGGTTCTTCATACAAATTCATACGAATTTGCCAACTCACAAAATACGCACGACTTTTCACAAATCATATGAATTCATACGAGGTCGTACAAATTCGTACGAATTAGCAACCTCATAAAATATGTAAGAATTGCGTTGAGATCGGGCTGGATTTTTCATCCTCAACAATTTATACATCACACGATGTTAATGTATTCAGTGTCACTACAATTCTCAAACCATGTTTGCCTACTGCTCCACAGCTCTGACAGCATATTAATTTTCATGATACAGCATTATAAAATGTTTATGTTATACAAAATATCCATTGTAAGGAAGGTAAGTGAGAATGAGAATGGCATCAGCATGAATGAGAACAGACTCACAGTAACACCAGCAGTGCTTTTGTTTCTTTTTGGAATTTACTATGACAAAAAAAAAAGTAGTTAAATTAAATAAATAAAGTGTGTAAAATGGTAATGCATGCTAAATCACATTTTATTTGCTGTTTCCTTTCAGTTAAATAAAACTGTTATTAAAAACATAATGAACATGTATAGTAGACTGATGAAGCCAGTTTATTGGGGATTACTGTGGGAACATTTAGAAGGAAATGAAAAGAAAAGACCAGTTATTCTCCTCTCAAAACTTCATACCTTTCTGACATCTGAACATGTGGCTGTTACCACAAATACTCTCTTCCCTACAGCGACATCAAAGTGGTCAAACCTGAAGTGTGTTCTGTTTCATTCTGACTTGATAAAAATTCAAAAAAACCTTATCAAAAATAAATAGAGCAGCCCTCAGGGATGATTGAAAGATACAACTACAAATAACTTAAGTTCAACTTTCAACAAAATATTTGTATTTATTTGTATTTTTGTTCAGAAATGGTGTTTTTCTGAGTTTCAAATGAAGATAAGCTGCTGAAATGATGATTTTACTACATTTGCCTGGCATGATCATTACAATGGAAAGATGTACGAAGGTCAAGGTTCAATTATGTGTCCGTTAAAAAAAAGAGTCTTTGTCTCTATCTGGTGGATCAGGAAAGTACTTTGAAAGTTTCAATGGGGAAAAAACAAGAATTTCAATGGTAAAACAACAATAACAACAACAAAACGCAATGAATGTATCTATTGGAATTTAGATATGGCAATCCTTCTTTGTCAACTGATTACAAAAGTGTGTTTGAGATCTCTCAGTCCAAAAAAGGTAAGAAAGTGACTAGAGACAATTTTAGTCTTAAAGGAACAGGCACATGGGTAATTGGATTTTGGTTGGGTTAGGATTTTGGAAAGGGGAGTGGGTTAAGGTTATGGTTTAAGTTAATGACAATAAAAAAGTAGCAACTGAAGACATCTTAAAGGGTAAGTTCACCCAAAAATGAAAATTAGGCTGTGTTTTACTCACCCCCGATGCATCCTAGGTGTATATGACTTTCTTCTTTCAGATGAATCCAGTCTGAGTTATATAAAAAATTGTCTTTGATCTTTCAAGCTCTATCGTTGCACTCAGCGGGGGCTGCATTCCTTCTGTCCAAAAGACGTGAAATAAAAAGCACCCTTCCACAAAAAAAATTGTCTCACACGGCTCCGGGGGGTGAACAAAGGCCTCCTGTAGCGAATCGATGCGTTTTTGTAAGAAAAATATCCATATTAAAAACGTAATAATCACTTGAATCTAGCTTGCGCCAACAGTTGTACACAGAAGCAGTTCTGGGAGCATGACGTATGAGGTCGGCGTTGCGCATGCGCCGGAGCGTCTCGTGAAAAACAAAGTTTGTTTACAGGATCAAAAGAAGCAAAGTTTCATTACTTTAGCAAAGAAATACCAGTCTCCTCTTGGCTTATATCGAAATCCTCCGACATTCTTCTTTACAAATCTTCATTTTGTACTTCTAATTAGTGACCGTTGTATTGTTTCGATCTCTCCGCGTGCATCACTTCTGAGCAACGCATGCGCAAAGCTGACCTCATACTCTGTTTACAACAGTAAGCGCAAGCTAGATTCAAGTGATTATTACGTTTTGAATATGGATATTTTTCTTACAAAAACGTATCAATTCGCTACAGGAGGCCTTTGTTCACCCCCCGGAGCCGTGTGAGACACTTTTTTTGTGGAAGGGTGCTTTTTATTTCGCGTCTTTTGGACAGAAGGAATCCAACACCCGCCGAGTACAACGACAGAGCTTGAAAGATCAAAGACCATTTTTAATATAACTCCGACTGGATTCGTCTGAAAGAAGAAAGTCATATACACCTAGGATGCATCGGGTGTGAGTAAAACACAGCCTAATTTTTATTTTGGGGTGAACTAACCCTTTAAGTCAAGTCAAGTCACCTTTATTTATATAGCGCTTTATCCAATACAAATTGTGTCAAAGCAGCTTTACAGTGTTAAACAGAAAAAAAACATGTGCTGATAATGCAAAAGGACAATAGAAATATTTTCATTTTTTCTGTTAAAGTTGGTTCATTGTTGATTCAGTGATGTCATCATCCAGCTCAGTTCAGTTCTCTTCAAATAGTGTCTGTGCAGTCAAGTCAACAATATTGTCAGAAATTGTGTCCCCAACTAAGCATCCATCGGTGACAGAAATGGAGAAAAAAAACCTTGGTTAAAAACCAGGCTGCAACGCAGGTCAGATTGAGTATTTATTTAAAGTACTTATTAATATAATATATATAAATCTGTTTGGATAAATTAAATAATTCCTATCTCAAGTATTATCAAGGTTACTACTAATGAGTTTGTTTTCTAAACAGTACAGAGGGTTATAATGTGTTACAGAACAGACTGACATGAATCAAGAAAACAAATTAAAATTAAACAAATAATGATGATTACATGGATAAAATTAAGATATGAATCTCTTCAACATCTACCTACATTGTTCACATACTGTATGATGGGATTTACTGTAATTAACCGTTTGTCATTGCAGTACTGAAGCATTTAATATGAATCGATATCGATATATGAAAGATATGAAATTAAATCACAAGCTTCTTTTCTTGTAAATAAAAAGATCCACTTCGTTCCTACTCCTAATTCTCAGACACTGAAGATTTTTGGCCTGCTATATAGTAATCAAAAAATAGACAGTTATCCAATAACTAATTTTTTTTTTTTTTTTTTTACTGTTCAGGACCTGGTTGGCATTTGTTGTGCTGAAATAAGTTGAAACATGATTTGTTTCATTGTCTGTAATTCTCCCTCCTTTTTTTTGGCACTGTGTGTCTCATACTTTGGTGTTAAACTGTTATAGCTTGCTGCACTATTGGATTATGATATATGTAATGAAATTTTCACTATATGCTAAGGTTTGGGCTTTTCTAGAAATGTTCTCTGTTAGAAGGCCAGTATTAAACAGTAAAAAAAAGAACACAAACACATTGCAGTGTTCATAATTTATTCAATGGAAATAAACAACATTTCTTTTCCACATGAATGAACATTTTATATTATTCAAGGAGAGATTATCAGTTTGTGACTTGACTCAAAAGTGATGGTCTCATGACACTGAGCGATGCAGTGAGCTGCAGGGGGTGCCATGCTCCTGGAAAGAGAGAGAGAAAGATCTTGATATAGATCTTAGTAGGTATTTACCATTTTGTTTCTGTAGTTATGATTCAAAAATATATTTTATATTATTAATCATTGCAATGATTCTCATGATTGTGTGACAACACTGACACTCTAACACAGTCTGAACAAAAACCACGCAATTACTACAAATTATTTTATTAAAAAAAACTTTTCTGCATCTTTCAGGCAATTATAGAATAAATAACATTTAATTAGTTTGATCTAAATACTTACTATTCCGTTGGTCAAGACACACTTTCTCTCCTGGCGTTGCTTAAAAGTAAAATTATTGCTTTCCTTGCTTTACTGCAGGTATGGTTTGTAATTAATCAGATGATAATCTGTGGTGACTCGAGTCCTGGATTTATTTTTTTGAGGATGCAAAAACAATAAAAACAACGGTTTGTTGACAATAAATTTAATTTCGAAGCACAATATGTTTGATGTTTGGTGATTTCGTGTGTGTGGGGGAACACGCCCCCTTAGAAAAACAGTACATACATGGCTGCTGTAGAGAATTCCAGCCATTTAGTGTTCAGAGCTCGCCTGAGGAAGTATCACAGAATCCGAAACGTCGCGATAGGCTTGAACACACAACGATAGGCCTCCATCATGAGTCTGGGTGATGTAGAGAGCCACATTAAAATTATTTCCTTCATCTACATCGATGATGGGATGTGCTCAGTATTTCTTTCTTCGAGGAAACGTGCACCACACCACACACCTAAACTTACCAACCACTTAGGTCGTGGAAACCTAAGAGAGATAGCCACTAGTCTTCTGGGCCCTTTGGGAATTTTTTGCATCAGCAAAAAAATATTTCTGGGTCTCTGGAAGTTGCATGTTGGTGGTCATCTGAATGTAACTTGACCCAAAAGTGACGAATGCAGTGTGAAGGTCATTCTTTTTCCCAGCATGAAAGAGAAAGAGAGAGAAGAAGAAGAGAGAAATAGAAACGGGAGAGAGAGAAATGGTTATATCTTGAAACAGATCTTTACACTTATTAATCATTTTTCTGAATGTTCTTCTGATGGATAATCAATAGAACTGAAAACACCTAAATCTTAAACTTTTTATTTAATATAACCTGTTTGGGTAAATTAAACTATTTCCTAACAGGTCTTTTTCTAATGTGTTTTCACAAGTTGAAGCTTCAAAAGCAGCTGAATGCTAACAAACCAGATTCACATGAATTAAGCAGATGGCAGTTGACACAAATTCTTATGCTTAAATTGATAAAAAAAATAAGATATAAACCTCTGGAACATCTGTCTAAATTATTCACGTATAGTAAGGATTTGCTGTATTAACAGCTACAATCCTGAAGCATTTCATATGAATTGACATGAAAGATATGAAATTATATAAGCTTCTTTCCTTGGAAGTGATTTACAAGAAATGTAGCACACAGGTAGGGATTGCACAATGCTATCTTTTATCACTCCTTACAAAGAAATTCCTGCTCTCACAGTCATCTTTGCGCTTTTGCGATCAACAAAATCAATAGCGAAAGTCAATTAAGATATATTTGGCATACAACAGTCATCGCAGTTGTATATGAAGTTACTACTAATGGGTATGATATAACTAAGTTTTCATTGAAGGCTGAGATTTGAGTCCTTTCTAGATTTACTGCCTATTCCAGAAAATTATTCAGTTAGAAGGACAGTGTAGTTTCACTGACAGGGAGGCCTTAGTATGCTGGAGAATAGGGCTGCACGATAAATCGCATGCGATATTTAACGCTCATCTTGTCAGTAAAGCCAGTTCTTTAATCAGCGTAAATCTCCATCGCCTGTGGGCTTTCACATGGAGCAGCATTAACTACACAGAGCCGTTGTTCACTGACAAGCTGCGCAAAACCACAATCATATTCTGCGCATGTTTTGCCCAGCTTGTCAGTGAACAATGGCTCTATGTAGTTAATGCTGCTCCGTGTGAAAGCCCGCAGGTGATGGAGATTTACCGCTGATTACAGAATGGCTTTACTGACAAGATGCGCGTTAAATATCGCATGCGATTTATCGTGCAGCCCTACTGGAGAACAATACCTTAAAGGGTTAGTTCACCCAAAAATGAAAATTCTTTCATTAATTACCTAATGTCGTTTCAAACCCGTAAGACCTTCGTTCATCTTCGGAACACAAATTAAGATATTTTTGATGGAATCTGAGAGCTGTCTGACCCTGCATAGACCGCAACGCAACTGAAATGTTCCCAAGTCCAGAAACAAGCAAGGAGATCGGTAAAATAATCCATGTGACATCAGTGGTTCATCCGACTTGGGAACATTTCAGTTGCGTTCCTGTCTATGCAGGGTCAGACAGCTCTCAGATTCCGTCAAAAATATCTTAATTTGTGTTCCGAAGATGAACGAAGGTCTTACGGGTTTGAAACGACATGAGGGTGAGCAATTCATTCATTTTTTGGTGAACTATCCCTTTAATTATTAAAAATTGCAGGAAGAGACTGCCGCATTTGTGCATGAACATGTTCAATGGCCCTGTCCCAAATCACAGCCTAAACTCTCACTGCCTTCCTCTGAGTCCACACCTTTGTGACGTAATGCCACTTTGACTGATGGGTAGAAGTCTGTTGCGGAGCTCGCCTCAGTGCAGGCTGGGTGGAAGTGCGCATCGAGCGCGCATAGCAGCCAAAAAGGGGACACTCGCGAGCACCCTTCTGAGAGCTAAAATGACCAATGGGACACCTATGGTCTCATGGACTTAACATGCAGGGGGTGTCATGTTCCTGAAGAGAGAGAGAGAGTGAGAGAGAGAGAGATTGGTTCTTAGTATTCACAGTTTTGTTTCTGTAAATATAAAATTAAAAAAAATATTTATAAAAATATTAAATATTTATCTTTGCAAAGT